CGGCTGACGAAGTTGGCTGATAGTGAAATCGCAGGGCCTTATAGCGCAGGCACAAGTGGCTTCCAGGACTGGGTCAAGTTACAGTACGCCCCCCCCCCCCAAAGAAAGATCTAGGGTGTTTTCAGGGTTGATATTACAGAAGGTATGAAAGTATTAAGCGCGCGATGCACCCAGTACAATGTATGACATTACTCCTGTATCAGCCTGAGTTATTGATTCGGGTGAATACTGAATTGGCTTCATTGAACCATTGCTGAGCATTGCATTCAACTGTGTTACCATAGCTAAAAATAATTTTGTTTTTTGTTTTTGGAAAGAACAAATCCCGCATCGCGCAAATAGGTGGTCTGGTATACAATGCAGATACACGATGCTCGTATACCAATAACGCGCAGTGGTGGCGTTGGACGAGCGAGGTGGTCACTTGAGTGAGCGTCATGTGGATGATAACCAGATGTAAGTACATCGGACGCGTCACAGTCGGGACTCATACAAACGGACCGCATCAATACATTAGGACACTCGTCTTCTATGCTTTCAGCAGGCAGACGCCCGCTGACGCCCCCCGTTCGCGCGCATATCTGCAAGTGACTGAGCTCGACAAGGCTTGACCATCTTGGTGCACGTAATCGATGAGTTTAGAATGGGTTGCGTTTTCATAACTATGATCGAAGCATTAGGCAAAGCGTGAAGTTTATGGGTAGATATTGGTCAGAGAGAGAGAGAGAGAGAGAGAGAGAGAGAGAGAGAGAGAAGAGAAGAGAAGAAGAGAGAGAGAGAGAGAGGCTATCTCTCCTCCTCTAAGAGAGGCTCTGAGAGGAGAGAGAGAGAGCTCTCGCGAGAGAGCGCTCTCGGCGTACTCTCTAGGCTTCGCGCTCTCTTCCCGCTCTCTAGATAGCCTCCCGGCCCTCGCCTGTACAGTATGCATGCTCTCTTCTCGGTTGTGTTAGACCCCGTCCCTAACTTGCACTTTTCATCATGGTAGTCTCAAAGAACGTACTCTCCTCTTCTTGGTTGTCCTTGGCGTTACCGATTTCTCTGTGTTTCCAGGTCTGTTGCTTGACATTAAATGAAGTGTTCCACATATAGATGAGGTTTTGAACTGAAATGGCCAACATGAAGACCTTTTGGTGCTGTTCACAATCTTGCCCCTCGTAAGTCCTAAGCCCCGCTAGTTTCTGAGCTAAACGCCCGCAACAGCTGGAGACGGTATGTCGGGTGGAGTATTTCAAAGTCACCTTGGCATTCATGACGTCATCATGACACCATTCAAAATCTGCCATTCCTTTATCCACGCGGCGATCAAGGCCAAACGAATGTAATTGTCCAGGCGTTCATATCTGGCGCGCGATTTCCAGATAAAATGGCCGTCAACTGGCTCTCAACCAATGGCGTGCAAGGTACCAGGGCGTAATCAAACTATGATTGCATTGAGGAGCAGATTTACTAAACAAAGATTTGTGCTGTCTAGAGCAGTATTTTCCCTTTCGAGATCGGGCACAGATACCCGGGGGCGTGCGCACATAGCAGCATCTGGTCAGGTGTACCCTCTCACCAAGTTTACGGTACGTGTTAATATGTTCGCAACTAAATAATGGCAGTTGAAACTTCCACTTAGGTACGTTGAGGAAACAAGGCTGTGAGTATGCAATGGTGTTTTAAGCCACACCAAGATGGGGCGCTCCAGCGGCGAGCTAAAATCGGCTTCGGTGTGCTTTTTTTAACCCTGCTCCCGCCCCATCGCGAAACCATGCGTGTGCCTGTGTAGGTATTTGTCAAAGTCGTGGAACCGGCGGACCCACGGCTTGAGCTCAATACGCGTGACCGACTGCACACATCGCCCCTGTTTGCCACTAAAATTGTCGTTTTCTCCTCCGCGAAACGGCGCCCGTCTCAAGTCGCTGCCATCCCAGGCTACTGGGCACCAGACCGGGTTGCGCTCCGTGTCCTTACGCTTGTCAATGCTATCTATGTCCATGCCAATCAAGTGTGAGATGTGAGAGATAGGGATATCGTAATATTGCATGAAATTAAGTCCGATATCAGGAAATCAATGCTCGCAGAGCTCACACTTAGACGGCGTAGTTAACGTGGACGTAGACGTTGACGTTGGCGTAGACAATGTAGACGTAGCCAATGGTTCTCCATGCTGTCAACGATAATCAGCTGACCGACCCACACGAGCGGCACCAGCCTTTGGCCAAGCAATGAAATACTGGCAAAAAACAACAACAACATACTGAGCTTTGCAAGCTTTGCTTCTCCCAGTATTTGATTTCTTTTTCATCTTATCAGTTCTACGGCCGTGGATTCTGGCGCAGCCATGTGGCTGTCTCTAAAATGCGGACGTGGCATACCTTATAATAGACATGCTACCTGAATCATACTCACTATGTTTTATTTTTAGGTCTCCGAAGCGCATTGCCCAGCGTTCGTTGTAAATGTGCTTCTTCTCTTGTATATTCTCCGCTCTTTTATTTACCTTTAAACCCTCTTTCATCCGCTCTTTCTCCTTCCAAAACAATATAGCGTGATATAGGGCATTGCCACGCAATCATTCATTTTTGAACATGGCTGGCTGGCTGGTTTTTGTCGCCATTATTTCATCGTGGCTAGTTCCAAATGTTTGCCTGGGTTGGTGCAGAAGGACGTTTGCAAGTAAAACAAAATATGTCGGTCTGACGATGCCTCGCTTTCACGACTAGCTGATAAAGTTCCGTGGCTTCGCCATTGGTTTTCGCTCGTAATCGCCACCTGTCACCGCATCCACCTTATTCGCTCGCCGTTCGTCGTCTCACCACAGACATTCAAAGGGAGATATGTGCATTTATTTACAGTTGTACATACAGGTGTTTACGAAATATTCACATACGAGAGAGAGAAAGATAGGGAGAGAGAGAGAGAGAGAGAGAGAAAGAGAGAGAGAGAGAGAGAGGGAGAGAGGGAGAGGGAGGGAGGGAGAGAGACGAACATCCAAGGACATGTTCACAGAAAATCACTCCATGTGATGTCTTCTTCTAGCTCCATCTCCATCTGAAACAGAAGACATTTCATGTCAGCCAATACTGTAGATCCTGTGAACAAAAACCAACAGCCGAAGACAAATAGCGTTTTCCACAAACGATATGATAAAGAGTGTTAGCAACGTAAACGGACGACAAACATTTCGGGGTAATCGAAGTGAAACAAAAGCGCGAGAAATACAAACGACGGTAAACCACTGGTCGAAACACACCTCAATTTTATGTGGACTTAATTTGACGTGCACAAGCCGATGAGGCCTCCTGTCACGGCGAGATGTACATTATATTCGTCATGTGCGTAAGCGATGTACTAAAATTGTTTAACCGTCACCGTTGCATGATCAGCCCCTCCCCCCGCAAAAAAGAGAACTTGGAACACTATCCCTGCGGACATGATGACAACACTATGACATGGTACCTACCTTAAGTTTGGCGGCCACCTTATATGACTCGCGAAGGAGGGTGCGATGCAACAGGCGCAAATGCGGCTTCCGCAGGCGGATTTTGATCCGGCTCATTGCTCGCTTGAGTCCCCGGTAGCTCATCGGGGGTAGGGGCTGCCGCCATGTTGGCGACGTTCCAGCGTGGGCGTCGCCTTCTGCCGAACCTGTCGAAGAACAAAACGCGTGTGAGCGCACGGTAATTGCGCCCGCAATCGTTACGGCGACGATGGTAGAGTTGGTGACGATGACGTGGCCTGGGAAAGTGACAGCACGCGTTAAGGTCCGTCACAAATTATGTTACGCATGGAAGGGTTTTTGAGGAAGCGCAACCGAAGCGCGAGCAGGGAAGAGGGCAGTGTAACATTGCTCCCATACGTGGTTGCAAATCATGCTAAAAACTGAAATAAATGTTATACCACCTTATAGATACGGATACCGCTGTGTTCTTGTCATGAGTTTGTTCCTAGTTATGTTACCCGATTTTGGGAGGTCTGCTCAGCTACCGGAAAATGGGCGTTACCTTTCGGGACGATGTGCTTAAGACAGCTTAAACAATGGAGGGGTTCTTCTGGCCAGCGTAAACAGTGCGTAGCTAGAGAACCACAGTTGTAAATGGCAAAACAGCGTAGCGTGATTCATGAGCGTCCCCTCAAAAGTGAGATAATTGTGGCTGACAACCATATACCAACTCCTTGTCCATCGAAACGAGAAAACCTGTGCAAGGGATTCCGTTGGCATTCATCGCCCAGTTACAGACTCTGGCTCTGCTTTTTTACTGTTGGGATATAAAACGAGAGTTAGTAATTGCTTTAATTGAAGCGAAACAGGAAAACAAAAGGAATCAGCGTCCGCTGTGAAGACTTTAGGACGCTTTCCATTCAAACCGTAACCTACGTTTTTGCCCAAATTTTGCCCTGATGCTGTTCTTTTTAACCCCGTCCCTTGATTTCGTGCACAGACAACACGCGTGCCAGCTGCAAGCGTCCGGGAAGGCACATGCCAAAGCGCCAGCGTCATAGACTACCGATGAATCATAGACTACCGATGTGTTGTTCAAACTCAGAACAAACAAAAACGTTTAGTGATTTTAACGCCACCAGCGTGCCCTTGCACTTGTCAAAGGTCAACAGCTACTGATTAATGCTTGTTGTTACAACTGAGTACAGAGGCTACTGACAAATTCGGGCGGTGGAGACTGAGGACAAGCAATGACGCGAAATAGTCGGGACACTAATGGCATATTACTGCATTTCAAACATGTACACGCGACCGATGAACCGTATGTGGTCCGCAACAACAGATTCCACCGCACAAGGAAAACACGGTGGAACGCGTCCGCCGACCACCGCAAAATGGTCGATGGACGGAACATCACGCTTGTGGCAATGCGCGCTGAAGAGCGTCTTTAAAACCCTGATGTCCTCTTTCCACGCCTCGGCCGTGGCAAAGTCAATGTCTGCAGCGGCTGGCGAGATGCAGTTTCCTGCCCGAGTACTTACTGGAGTGCGCAAGTCGGTCCTCCAGCGGGGCTGACCCGGCTGCAGGGGGCGGGCTCGGCTGACGCTCCAACGAGGCGAGCCCGGCTGCACGAGGCGGGCTCGGCCGACGCTCCAGCGGGGCGGGCTCAGGTGCGGGAGGCGGCACGGCCGGGATATCGGCCTTGCCGAAGCGCTTGATTTCCTGAAAAGACGACGACACATTCATCAGCGGAACTAGAAGCCTGCACTCAAGTCTCTCCCCCTTCCAAAGATCCGAACGATTTCGTCAACCAAAATGCATCTTACTTTCGCCGAATGACGCAATATTCAAAAGAGGAGATGTCAGTAACGGGAACGGCCTCCGTGGAGGTGTCGGTAGATCTACTGCTTCACAACGCGCCTTTCCTGCCAATCCATGCGAGTGAATGCCTTATGAAAGATGCTCGGCACTTTTCACCCGGTGGATGATTAAACTGAAAGTGATACGATAGGCTTGTTGGTTTAATGGACCCCCACCACCATTTGGTGGGGGTCCTGTTTTTGTCCTGTTAACCCAGAGACAGTCACTCGCCGTACCTGGGTCCTATTTTGAATGCACTGTATGTCGCGGTTTTTCCGATTTTCGAGCGACGCGCCGCACTCTCGGTAACGAAATCGGTAACGCACCACGTCAACATTCGGTGCGTGATACGTTCAAACCCCGAGTGGCTCAAAACTTTTCCACAAGGTCCTGATGATTTATTGCCTTCATTTTCAGGCATAAATGCATCATTTTTATCCGTAGCCATTAGGCAGCACAACAGAGGATCAGCTAACACCGCTAGCAAGCTTCAGAGCAAAACGGATCCGATCGGCCGATTGGTGCCATCTCGGGGAAACATTGCCTCCTGTACTGACCTCTTCCGCGTAAGAAAATACTGGCTACGGTTTGTGCTGGCCACGCTATGGTTTTTAGGCGTGATATCCATCGGCTGTCAGATATCTCACTCGCATCATGCGGTGTCACTTTCTTCTTGCCATGCATGACAGTATCGAGGCGACAACGCCTGACACTATTCAGTGAAGACCGAACAGTCTAACACTCGCTGCTGTTCAGTAAGGCATTTGGACCCAGCGGTCACGTTTTCTGATGTATTTCTTGCGTGCGGTTTGGGAAATGCAATTTTCAGATATCTCTGAATAGCTTATTTTCAGAATCAATAATAGAACATTACGGATGTCGGATGGTACTATGTGATGACAACATGTCTCATGTGTGAGCAATGCTGGGGAGGAACTAATCAAACGCCTGTGCGAAGGGCGGAAAAATGGACGGGCGGAAATAAATGCCACTGGATAAGACCATTGGCTTAGCTCGTGACCTCGCGCTTCTACTCGAGCGGAAAGAGGGATGGCATATGATGGATCATAGTTGCTCCTACATGTGTGGGATACCTGATCGATGTTAAGGTATCGGACACAAGATTCACCTCATTGGTGTCACAAACCGCGACAACTTACCTTGAAAAATTCGCCCACGTCGAATTCGATCTCTTCCAGCGCGTTCATATCTTCACCTTGTCGTTCCCTGGATGCGTCTTGGTGGCAGTCACAGCACAACTGACCCCCGGAACCCCTTAGGACCCCTCCAACCACGGTCCGCCTGCTAGCTGTGCCTTGTGGCTTTGCATAGGGGTGGTCGGGACTCAGGCGCACCCAGCGGGCTAATTGCTGGTGCGTTAATCCCCGTTGACGGCCGGGTACCCCGGTGACAAGGTGCGAAAACGGCGGTGTGACTTACAAACGCAAGGATTAGTAGCCCGGGGAAGGTTCCCGAAAGGGAGACTTGAGCTGGAATGTCACCGTGCATTGCTAGATAATTCCACGCACCTTTTGTGTAACGTATGATATTTTATATCACATCTCAGTTATGCACTAAATCGTGCGGTGAACAAACGCGTGTCTGTTCATATCACGGTGTTTTTCCGTGGATGTTTCCTATGTATGGCAGGCTGCGGACAAATACCAACTTTGGTGTAGCTTCACGTTGCATTTGCGGCGATACATAAAAACAGATTAGGGGTCCCCGGACGCATCGACTCTTCACCCGTGATGCAGGTGCTACGCATGTCCGACGGAGAACTGGAAGCTGTAGGTCTATTTACCACCAGCTTGTATATCTATTGGCATTCATATATTAATATTTCATTCCTGATATCTATTGCATCGATTAATTCAGTAGAGGGAGGGGCGAAATCGACTTTCTCTAGTTCCTGGTAAATGCTCCCGGTACGGTTGTGTGGGGCTCCGTTATGATTGTGCGGCCACTGCAGCCCCACTACCTGCAAAGGAAACTCTGCTGCGTAGTTTGAAGCATAGCAAAAGAAAATCAGACGGAAAATGTGGGATCGAGACCGAAAACCGGGGCAAATTTCTGCTAAAGTAGCAGACGTCAGCGCATGACAATTGACGCTAATTCGCTCCGGCTGTGTCTGAAGATTGGGTACGTTCCTGACAGCACTGGCAACGTGTTTATGTAGACTGCTGTATGCCACAATGAAAAAAGTAAGATGTACCTCCCTGGCCAAGTCATGGTTGGCCAGGGAGGCCAATTCAGATTGAGGTTATGATAGAGCAACTTTATTTTTCATCAGTTCATGCTTGCATAAGTTGTGAAAATATTCAGTATTTTCCTCGGGAAACGCATTCCGTGACATGCATCATAACTATTTCTTTATTTTTTTCGTCCAAACCTTTTGAATGGGTGGATTTCCGAGATCAGAGCTCATGCTAAGCAGTGCTTGTAGTGTGAGTCCTGACCGGTATCACCCGATCGCGCAATTCCATGCCAACGGCAGAATTCAGTGGCGAAAGATTATCGTGCCGCATTGTTCGGCACGGTCCTTCCTGCCCTGTAAAGTCACCTGACCTTTATCTCGGCCGCTGCCATCGGCCGCAGGCCATACCTGTCAATAGCAAATAGTGAGCACCAAAAGCGACTCGAACTCACCCCGCCACGCATGGGTGGATAGGAAGTCAGGCATTATAACCAACTGAGCTATACTAACGGACTTTTCTCGCTCATTCATATGCGACGCGAGGTAAAATGTTCCATTTTGGCATGTGTATTGCATCGCTTATTATGTCAATAATATAGCTGTGTTCTTCTTAAGAATACTTAAAAACAATCGTAAAAATTAACAGCGATGATGAGACAATCCACGCAACACATTCAAAATTCGTTGTGCCTGACCTTACTTGTTGCAGGCCGCCCGCACAAAGATGTTAAAACAGCCCAAGAGTAATTTCAGGTGTTTGTACTCAGAATGTTTTTCAGCGTGTTTTGTGACGATTAAGTTTGAGAACACACATTACACACAAAATATGTCATTGCGCGATTAGCTTAGGGAATCTAGTGGCAAATTTCCTCAAAGCACCGAGTTGAATATGGGAACCGTTTGGACACTCGGTGTCAAAACAGTGCTTTCGGATAAAACCAGACCCGTGGCACCACGGACCATGCATTCTTGCAGCCCACCTTGTGAAAACGAAAATGGAACCAAGATGTCGGACTTAATTACAGGCGGATTGATAACAAGCAACACACAGATATGCACATCGACGAAATCGATAGCCGATGCAAAGGGAGTCTTTGCTCGCCGTCGATACTTACTCATAGTTAGTCTGCTCATAGCATTGGTTGGACTTGTGCTCGATTCTTCTGCACAAGAATCAGTAGGTTGCCAAACGACCAGGGAAGGCAAAGCAGCCTTCATAAGCACCGCCGCCATTTTACTTAAGAAAAACACCGCTCAAAAATAATGGAAGTCTGTGGAGCGCACGGTAATTTTTCACCATCGTAAGATGGTTTAAAAATCAGAAGCACACAAATCGCACAAGACAATAACACCGTTGGTTCCACACTGCTACAGAATCGAGCTGAAGCTGTAGGCGTTGCGTGATCATTTATTGCGTTGCAAACGTCTGGAGGTTTTCTGGCGTCCGACGGGGTCGAATGGCGAGAAGTCTGTGATCTGAGGCTACGGCTGTCTCCAGGAAACTCCGACCGGGCGCCTCGTCTGGTGGCAGCGTCCCAGCCCAGACCCTCGAGAACCCCTGTGGACACCTTCAGACATCGGTTACCTGCTGATTATGAGCTTAGAGCACCAAGGAGGGACGGCAGGACTTGGACACGGCCGGCGGGTGCCTGGCTGGTCAGCTAATCCCCAGCGATGGCCGGGTAGTCTGGTGATGAGGTGTCAAGTTAGCGACGTGGTTTACAAAGGCCATGATTAGGTACTCAGGAGATTGTTAGAGGAGACTAGCGTTCGCCAAGCGCTTTTGGAAGAGTGCGTTGGGATGCTGTATAGGCTGATAGTCCTCGTGTGCCTGATCGGCATCCAACACACCAGCCGCGGATGAAGCCAGTGACGGACGCAGCCAGTGACGTCAGTTGCGGCTTGTCGGGCGCATGGCCCATGTCAGCTGAAAGGCATCTTTAACTTAAGCCAGATGTCGCAGCATCGTCCACATTCTCGACTTTTCGCCTCGCGTGACTGTTTCAGTCTTGGGTGCACATTGATTTAACTTCCTTGTGGAGCGCGTGCGTCACCCCTGATGCCCTCACCCGACATTCTTAGCTGTAAAGTCCACAGTCTATAGATCGGCTTTGGGGCTTGCGCTTCAAAGCTAAATACCTAGTTTGCATTGGACCACTGCTGCGAGTGCGGCGCCGAGTCCAAGCCCTACAGCGGTGCGTGCGCCATGAAATAGCCTGTATTCCCCAAGTGCATTTGAGTGGAGGATACTCGCGTGGTCATTCGTCTCAGAAGCATCGGGCGATCAGGCGTCGAGTTTGAGACGCCGAACGTGTTAGCAGCCCCGCATTCGCGCGAAGCCGTAATAAGAGCCTTAATCGCAACCGACGTCGGTGATTGGCCAGCATTGGCATGATTGGCCAGTCAGACCAAACCTGACTGAGGCCATATGTGAACGATGTGTCGCATTGCCCATGTTTATCAGGACTCGACCTCACCTTCGATCAGTGTGATCATAGCTGGGAAATTCCCATTTTCTACGGGAGCCCGGTTGGATCTAAGGTTGGCGCAGACACAGACTGACGGCGGACTGCGGATCACACGGCTAGATTATGTCAGCTGGAGGCCGTCAGAGGCGACGCAAGCGCCTCACAGTGCAGTTAAATCCAGGTCCACCCAGGACTGAAACAACAGTCACGCGAAGCTAACAGTGGAGACCGTGGACAAGTCTGCGACACCTGGATTCAATCAAAGATTCCCCTTCAGCTGGCACGTGCCATGCGCCCGACAGGTCGCGTGAGGTCGATCGGGGGGAGGGGACTCACAAACTCACGCGCTCTCTCACTCGTACACTTACTCACTCACATACGCCACCGTGGGAGCGTCATCGTCCGATAACGTAAATCAGTCGCCGGCGGACAACGCTTCTTTTCTTCGGATGAGCCCCTGGTGGCATGTAACTGAATGCAGCTGGCTAACCGGCAGCGTGGTGACACACAAACGGCTGCCCAGGAAGAATGCCTATCATCGCGTGCAAAGTGTACACCCTGCCATGTACCTGGCCCCCAAGATTTCCTCCTGGAAACCGGTTCCTGGTTCCGGAACCAGGGAGAACCCAGGAACCAGTCTGGTATTAGGCCAGCAATCCAGCGGGAACCAAGATCCACCCTCATGTTAAGTTGACTGATCCAGTGAGAGCCAAGATCCAGCCCAGCAATAAGTCAAGAGATCCAGGAAGAACCGGGTTCCAATCTGATACCAAGCCAAGGAAACCAGCAAGAACCGAAATACAGTCTGGCATTATGTCACGAGATCCAACAAGAACCGAGATCCAGCCTAACATTATGCCAAGAGATCCAGCAAAAACCAAGATACAGCCTGAAACATGAAGTGATCCAGCAAGAACCAAGATACACCTCAGGATAAAGGAACGATTCAGCAAGACCCAATCTCTAATTTGGATTGATGCCAAAATAAGCACCAGGGACCAAAATGTTACCTGAGGCTTCTGTCAGCTTTGGTTTTCGAGGCTCAGCAAAGTGTTTCTTAGGGACGCTTTCTTCTTTCACTGTTCGTGTTTGTCTGCTCGCCTTGTTACACTTTTTGGAAATAGTTTGGGAGGCTCAGCAGGTAAAATGGCTTTACCTATTTCCACTTTATTTCGTGCAGTTGAGAAGGCTGAGGCGACCCAATAATATGAAGCTACACGCCTGGTGCTCCTTCAAGTAGATATCAATGAGTAAAAACATCGTAAATTGACCATTTCAAGAAGCTTTCCAAATTTCAGTTCTTTGATGAAAGTCCGCCACAATGAAATCTTATAAACATCTGCAACAATGCAGAATGGAACACTGATATTGTAGTTATGTGAATTTAAACGATTCATTTTCTGCAAGCATGTAGTCTTCTACACAGGGCTCAAGCATCCACTTTTGGCACTCTCAACACAAGTTTTCTCCAAGGCTGGTTAGTGGAATATCTGCAGTTATGGAAAACTTCTGCTTCACCACGATACCCTCAGGTCCACCTGCA